CAAGTCCTGATAATTGCTGCACGGAGAGCCTGAGACCTGGCACTAGACCGTCAAGGAGCTTCAACTTTCTCTGTAAAAGATTCACCAAGAAACAACTAAAGGGTAAAGTGCTTAAGTGGAAATGGGGGTGGCTGGTCCAGGCTCCCAGGTTGCCTCTCCAGGCCTGGACTGACGTTTATAAGCCATGGAGGACCATCATCTGGGCTGTGTGTCTCCGTTACTGCATTCACACAGCTTTCTTCTATCTCATCAGATGTTCTCGCCCTCTGCTGTTTAACCGAGGACTCTGTCTTGTAGGTTGTGTAAGACACCCCAGGTAAAGAGCTACTACAAGACAAACTTGGAGTTAAACCAAGATTTTCCAAAGGTCAAAAGTCCGTGTGTTTTCCTCTAGTCAACATGGCCTTTTCAGGCAAGGCATTGTTCCATTGCCTAGCAGCCCTTCCTTCAGTCGGGGGGGGGGGAATATGGGACAGATTCAGCTCTGGCCCTCAGGTAAGAAAGTGGAGAGTTCTTCAGAAGGTGCCACCAAATAGTCAAACTGCCATTACACAAGATTCCCAGCTAAGCTTGTACACCACGATTGCTCAACCCCCTCTACAAAACAAATCAAGTCCATCCATAAATGTTCCGCAGCTCATTCGATGACCTTATTAAAATGTGTCATTATGAGCAGGCAAGACAGCTCAGCTGCCAAGCCCAATCACCCAAGTTAGAGCCCCAGGACATACATGGTATGGGGAGAGAACCAAGTCTCGTATGTTGTCCTCTGATCTCCATACACATGTGAACACACACGAATAATACAAATTAATTAATTAATTAAACTTCTAGTATGCCATGGAAACTGGCTATGGTAACATATGTCTACAATCACAGTACTCTGGAGGCAGAGGATCCGGAGTTCAAAGTCACCCTTGAGTAAATGGTGATTACATGTAGCCAGTCTGGGCTACACGAGATCCTGTCTCAGGCAAAAAGAAGTTGTGCCACTGGGCTGAGGAGATGACTTTAATGACTAAAACACTCACTGTGCAAATGTGTAACCAGAGTTCAGATCCTGAACCCACACAAGAGTCAGGCAGGCACGGCAGCAGCCTGTGATCCCAGGACTTGGGGAGGCAGAGGCATAGGATTCCAAGGGCAAGCCTGTTAGCAGAAATGGCCAAGATTGGGAAGCTCCCAGATTCAGCAAGAGACTCTGCCTCGGTAAATAAAGTGGGCAATAAAATCACTTGACATCAAATTTGGTCCTCCGCACACAGATAAGCAGAAGTAAACACACACACACAGAGGGGGGGTATATACATGCAAATGCACGTACGAATGTGCATATCAGAAACACCAAAAAGAAAAAAGAAAAAAACTAGGCCAAGAGTCTACATATGGAGCTTCAGCGGCAGGTGCAAAAGCCTCTCTGTGCTTCTCCAAGGGCAGATGCAGTCATTGCATCTCCTGCTCTTGAGGTCTCCAGATGGGAAGAAGTCAGCTAAGGACTTCAGGCAGTGGCATGATGCAAGAAAAGCAGCTTACCAATTCCAGGAGCTGGCCTCGGCCCTCAGCCCGCAGCCCGCAGCCTATGGAGGTCAAGAGTTGGCAAAGCTGTGGTCTGACTGAGCCTGTGCCAATAGGAAAGACAGAAATAGTACTCACCATGATGACTCCAAAGCAGTTCTCTGAACTAAATTAAGTTGGGGAGGAAGCCAAGTGTGGCTATTTGTGAATCAAATAAGGAGGTAAATTAATTTTGCTTTTATGCAAGCATTCGCCTGTACTGGCACGAACGTGCATTGAAAGAACAGAAGGTAAATCGTGTTCCGAAGGAACTGTACTGATGACACAGCAGTTAGTGGCGTGGCTACCTTCTCAGGGGAATCAGCACTGATTATGACAGGTATCGTGTAGTTCAAACTCTTCCGTCTGTGACCTCAGCAAGCAGCCACTCTACGGGATTCAACAGTAACAAGACATTAGTGCCTCTTCTTGGGCAAGTCTCTCTCCTGGTGATATCTGGGTTGACACACTTGCTCACCAGCTTCCATAAGCTGCTATTATCTGCAGGCAGTTCTTGAGTGCAGGTCGGACAGCATCACGTGGCCGTGAATCATTTGCTTTGTCTGTCTCAACTCAGCAGGCTGGCACCTGACTCACTTAGGCAAGGAGGTTCTGTATTTGCTTCTTCAATACCTAACCAGAAGCATTTGTTTTTGAGAGGTGGGGGAGGCTAGAGAGATGGCTCAGCAGATAAAGACTCTTGTGGCCCAAGCCTAAAGACTTGAGTTGGAATCCCTGGAGCCCACACAGTGGAAAGAGAGAACAGACTTCTAAACCTTGTCTTCCAACATCCACAAGTACTCCATGATATGCTCACGCTAAATAAATAAATAATAAGTTTTAAAATGAGAAAGATTGGAAGAAACTAAAAGTAACTGTGAATGGCTACCAGTCAGTCCAGCCTTTACAAAGTCTCTCGTCGACCCTGAAACATCGGCCTGCTAACACTATGGAAAGCCAGCACTATTATCCTTAGCACTATTCACAGACATGGAGAATAATTTAACAACAGTTTGGCTTTCTTCTGATATGGTCTCACACAATGTAGACGGGCCTCTATGTGACCTGAAACCTTGAGCTCCTTATCATCCTGCCTCCACCTTCTAAATGTCAGAATTACAAGCATGAGCCACTACCTAATGGGTTCAAAATGTTATCTTCTGGGGGGGGGGGAAATCTCTGCTACAAAGAGGTTAAGAGATTAGGTCAAAGTACCCAATGAGCAGATGGCATCGTTTGCAAAGAATCCAGACTTCCAATTTCATGGTCCAGATTTACTCTGGAGCACGGGTTCAACCATGGTTGACAAACCTAGATATGAACATTCCCTGGAGAGTTTATAAAACAAGGATCATAGAGCTCCATTAGAAGTTCCAGATTCAGGGTATCAAAATTGGGTCTTAGAATTTTAATTTCAAACAAGTTCCCAGAGAACAGGAATATTGTTGGTCTTGGGCTCCCACTTGGAGAACTGATATAAGGATATGTGGTCATAAAATAGATGGAAATAACTCATCTGACTTCAAAGACACAAGTTACTTAGAATATGGGGGGGGGCATGTTCTCTTCCAGATTACAAATGTGTTCTGAGCTTCGTAAGTTAGACAAATTTGTCTTCAAATGTAATTAAATGTGTGTGTGCACGCACGTGTGTGTGTGTGTGTGTGTGTGTGTGTGTGTCTGTCTGTCTGTCTGTCTGTCTGTCTGTCTTTGGGAAGACCCATGCTGTTGAACCCTGTTAAAAGAACGTGTGTAACCAAAGATAAAGAAATGGATCCTTGCACTCAATGGGGGATGAGTGCAGGTGAGCAGGCAGGAATATGAGGGGACTACCACAAGGCAAATGAGGAATATTGGGACTCAGAAGCAGTGTGGCTTTGGCCAGACAACACTGGAAAATGGCACCTACCTCATCAGGCTGCCTGTGATGGGCAGACATGTCCAGTCCTAGGCCTGGAGGCATCACCCCTCACTCATCCATGGTATTGCTCAGTGAGCTTGTGCAGTGCATATTCTGGGGTTAGGTCCTGTGCCAGGGAACATGGAGATGCAAAGCTGAACATGCCCAAGATAAGGTGTAAGAACAAATCTCACAAACAGCACAACTGCTTAGGAGAGATGCTGCACACTCACAGGCAGCTAACCTCTGCCCGGGAAAACATTCCTTCAGACATCTCTTGATTGTATCACTGAAGGTTGGATTGCTGAACGTCCTGTTACTGTGAGCATGCACGCGCAGGTGACCTCCAAATGCTAGCATCCAGGCCACATCCAGGACACTGAATGTGAATCTGAAGCCTGGTTTCTGCCAGGCCCTGTCTCCAGCTGCTGTCTAGACACAAATGTGTAACATCGGCATTTCCAAATCTAGATTCATCTATAATGTATTTTTAACAGTAAGCTAATGGCTTTACTCTCTGACCACCCCTCCCCCAAACTAAATAAAACATCATCTTTCCTCTTCCCTCTCACTTTTTTGGTCCTGATGTCACTAGAGTCATTTTTTAAAAATTACTTACATTTTTTATTTTGTATATGTGAGTGGAGGTGCTTGCACATGAATGTTTGTGCTCACAGAGACCAGAAGAAGGTCTCAGAATTCCCTGGAACCAGAGCTACAGGTATGTGTGAACCCCTGAGGTGGGTGTTGAGGATCAGACTTGGGTCCTGGGTGAGACCCTTCCATGCTCCTAACTGCCGAGACATGGCTCCAAGCCCTACTTCACTTGGTCTGTCTTTACCCCTGTCTCTTCTCTGGCATTTTCTCTCAGGGATCACTGCTTCTCAACACTTCAGCGGTGTTTTATTTTGTTTTGTTTTCCTGGAAATTTCAGTGTGGATGAAAAAAATAAATCAGAAAGGTATGTCCTGGGATAGCCAGTCAGAGTGTCTGCTGGAGTTCTGTGGGGTTCTATTGTTATCACATTTCATACTGCCCGTGTGTATGCATCAGCTGCAGTGCGTGTGTGGAGGTCAGGGCAACTATGGGAGTCTGTACTCTCCTTCTGTCGTGTGGATCTCAAGGATCAAACGTAACCTTATCAAGCTTGGTGGCAAGTGCCCGCTGAGCCACCTCACCAGTCCTTCCGTTGGAGTTTGAAGAACCATAGCAACAAACAAGGTCCTGATCCTGTCTGAATGCCAAGCAAAGAACATTGGGCTGTATTTGATGGGCCACAGGGGAGCGAGAAAAAGCCTTTGTAAAGAGATGTGATGTAATCAGAGGCATGCATTAAGAAGATTAATTTGGCAACAGCTTATGGGGGAAGATTATGTGGAAAATAGATTAACAGTCAGGAGATTAGCTGTGGCATACTTGTGAAAGGCTATATGATAGTAATGAAGACGTGAACTCAACTGACAGTTATGGAAACAGAAGGCAAGGAGTGGGGGGGGAATGCTTTGGAGATGAAAATCATTTTAGTTTTGAGATAATCTGGACTTACCTTGAACTCCCAGTCTTCCTGCATCTGTCTTCCAAGTTCTGGGATCACAGGCATGTGCCACCATACCTACCTCTTCACTGTTTTTTCAAGTCTGGTGATAGAATAAGTAGAACAAAGAGTTCCAACCTAACTCCTAAGGGTCTAAGTCCTTACTACCCAGGGCAATGGTGATTCCACTCGGAGACTGATGGGACAAGAGAAGACACTTGTGGAATGGGGAATTGCCAAGGTTCCATTTACACACGCGGAGTTTGGGGATGTCTGATGGCAATTGGGGTTGTCTGATGGCACAGTGACTTCATCACCATAAGAGGTGGCAACAGCTCTGGGAACAAATGGTCAAGGCAAGAAACTGACACAATACTTCGGAGTTAGTCATGAGATGAACAACAGTACTAAAGCAAAGGCGGGGGGGGGGGGGTATGAGAAGTAAACTTACGAGCATGAGACAAGAGAGTGGGCTCATCGGCAAAGGCAAAGAAAGATGGAGTGGAACAAATCGTATCGGAATGGTGTTGGGTAAGTCATGGGCACAGAGGAAGGGAAGATGGGGGGAGGGCGTAAGACTTCAATAAACAAATAATCCATCTCAGATACATGTCATCTACTAATATGAAAACCAGGTTTATTAGCCACTTTTCCCGCAGCTGTGACAAAATGCTCAACAGAAGCTTATTAGGAAAGAAAGGGTTTAACCTTCTCTGGAAACATACCCAGACACACCTAGGGGTGTGTTTCTATGGCGATTCTAAATCCAGTTAAGATGACAATGGCCGTTAGCCTGCAAGAATTAATAGACTATCTTCTAAATGGAGAACAAGACCAAAGGGAAATGCCAAGGAAGACTCCACAAAAGAAATGAAGGTTAATATATAAGCCTTAAGAACAGATTGTAGGAGCAGAGAGCAGTAAACGCAGTGCACATATAGTTATATAAATTGCCAAGCTGTACTGAGACTACAAAATGAGTAAGCCAATTATTTTAGGGCTGGACTGAGATGATTTTGTCATTGCTCCCTTAGGTGAACTTTGCACGTTGCCTCCTTCCATGGGTACTCTCTAATCAGATAGTAGAACAAACAGCCAGGATAGGGGAAAACAGAGAATAATGAATGCCAACTGAGAGAGACTGTCACTAAAGCACCTAACATTGGGGCACAGGCTGGAAGGCCAGCTCCAGGAATGCCGAAAGTTCTGACCAGGGAACTTGCTTCAGAGAAACACCACTACGGGCAGAGATCATGTTCCATTTAAGAGGGAGTAGTAGCGGGAGGGCTCAGCATACTGGCTGAGGAGGACGTTCACACACAGTAGCATTGAAGTTGTCTGGAACTCACTGGGAAGAACAGGGAGAGGGATGATCTAAGAACTAAGAAATACAACTGAGTGCAAAGGCCTGAAGTCCGAGACAAGGGGCAGTTGTAGCTGCAGAGATGAAGGGACACGCCTGGCTGGCAGATCAATCCCATTGGGTCACTCTGTGTTAGCGTCCAGACAACTGAAGAACCAGGGCAACTTAAAAATTGAATTTTCCCCACCCCTTTGTCCAAAGCTACCTCTTTAAGGACACTCGGGGCCTGAGAACACTGTAGGAACATCTAACTGACATTAAACTTGCACCTCACTCACTTCCGCTTCAACTGCTGGGGTTGGAGAGATGGCTCCGAAGCGAAGAACACTGGCTGTTCTTCCGGAGGACCTGTGTTTGATCCCCAGCACCTACATGGCAGCCACAGCCATCTGTAACTCCAGTTCCAGGGGATCCGATACCCTCCTCTGACCTCTGTAGGCAAGAGGCATGCGCGATGTAACACATATAAGAATTTCAAGATGGTAACGTTCCTTAGGAATTCCCCAACCACGCGAATTAGAATGTCCCTCCCTTCCTGCCATATCGGTGGAAGTCTTTCTGCCACTTTTTCCTCTTTCAGGGAAGGTCCCGACCATGCACCAATTGTCAGATGGGTCCTGGGATGGCTGCCTTCTTTGTGCTCATCTCCACATGAGTGGGAATCTTACATGCCCCAGCCTACATGATTGTTCTTTTGTGTGTGGAAACCACTTGTGTCTGGAGTCTATGGGGTTCCAGGCTCTAGAATGGCTCTGACTCCCCCTTTCTGCTTGCTCTAATACGACTCCATTGTATCCCACCTCCTCTAAATCTCTCCTTAACCCTTTAAAACAGATGATGTTGGCACTGGGGAAACATGGTTAGTTATGTGCTTGCCATGCAAGCCCGAGGACCCGGGTTTTGATCCCCAGGACCCAGATGAAAAGTTTGCCATTGTAGGAAGCAGTGGGGTGTGGGAGCGGACAGGGGATCCCTGGGACTCAGGAGCCAGCCAATTCAGCCTAATTGGTGAGTTCCAGGTCCCAGTGAGACTGTCTTAAAAAAGCAATGAGCAAAAGCCCACGTACAAAATAACAAGAGAGATTAAAAACAAGCCTGATGCTTTTGTCAGAGTCTATGCTTGGCTCCTAGTCCTAGATTTTCAGTTTCCCTCCTTCCCATGCCTAAAGGACTTAGGTCATTAATTTCCCCCTCCCTTCATAGCTCGAGACTCACACACTGCTCCTCTTAAATGAGAAAACAATTACAAGCACAATTTTGTTTTTTACCCACTTAGATACTGTTACCTTTGATAGTAAAAGTAAAATCTTGTCCCTTCATGAACTCGGAGCCACTGTCCATGAATTCTTGGCCATTCATCAACTGTTTCCAACTCAATGAACACGTCTTCTTTCCTTACACTGTCTTATGCCAAGAGTACTTTTTTTTTTCAATTAACTGAACTTACAATCAGTCATATCTCCTGGGTCAGAAGATAACAAAACCAAACCCCGAATCCTTGCTGATGGATCATGGCCACACAGCAGTGAACACAGACAAAAGATCAATCAAATCTTCAGTTCTAGCTGGTACTGTTGACCCAAGCCCAATGCAGTCTCCTTGGAAACTGGACTAAGCTGTGAGATAACCAATGACATGTTTAGACTGGAAAGCTGTCTGGTCCTTACCACCTCTCCATTGGGTTGTGCCACAGGCTCCTGCTAACCCTTCACAGATTATAGCCAGGTGGGTCTAAATGCCGAGCAATCTCATGTGTGCTGGGACTCGCTAACCACCTGAAAATTACAAGGAATGGCAAAGAGAAACCAAAGGAAACCATCTATTTGACAGAAGGACCCTGAACCTTCCCTTCTGTCAGTATAGACTAGGAAGAAGATCTTTGGAGTGTTCTAAAATTCAGAACTCTCACCACATCTTACGTCTATGTATGGATAAAGTAATTAAATATGTATGAACACAGCAAACAATACAGGATATGGCAGCATGCATGATATGAGATGGGGGGGGGCATTCTTACACAAGGGTGTTCTCAATCGTTGCTCTCAGCTAAGATGGCCACTACAGTCCGATGATGAGACTGAAACTGCAACAGACCAAAACTAAAATGTGACATAATGACCATGTCCTGGGTAATGTTAGTCTGCAGTTGGATGGTTAGAAGACAGAGGAATGAAGAGGAGAAGAGAAAGGCCTTTTCATTGTGTACTCACCTCCCAGGTGGAAAGACACACTAGATGAGGTAGGTACAAGTATGTTCAATACAAAAAAAAAAAAAAAAAAAACAATTATGTTCAACAACGAAGTAAGCAAACTTAGCTGGGCTCTCCCACCTAGAAAACATTCTCACAAAGCATGCAAGGACTCTTGCTCCAAATCCTTGATTATCAGAAGACCATCTGACTTTTAATTAAATCAGCATTATGCTTTTAAAACAAATAAGACTTTATGATTTGCTTAGCATTAATCAAACCCCGAGACTTACCCACCTCAAGGTGAGCTAACAAAATTGAATTCTTTGACCTATGAAGACCCAGAGCCCCAAACACTGTTATTTCTTTCCTTCTAACGCCCTCACCGTGAGGTGCAGCCTAAGCACTTGGCCCGCAGACCCTCTTCTTGCTAATCAGCTTACTTCAATAGTATTAGCAGGCATTCCAGGGTCCACGGACTATTGGCTAGGTGTTGGTTGTGGACCTTCAGAAAACAAATGAAGAAATTGTTCAGGAGATGAAAGACATGTCAAATAAGGCCGTGCACTTTAAGGATGAAGGCAGAAGAATCTCAAACTAGGAGGCAGCCAGAGTTGTTCATTAACTACCACATATTTGGTAGGAGGGAGAGGGATGTTGTCACTAAATTAGCCTGTCACCGTAGTTAAGCATGTGGACCTTGGTTGATGTTAGTTTACCACAGAACAGGCCCCATCTACAGCAGAGGCTCCGGGAAGGTGGCGAACTTTGACACAAATTCATGCCTCTTGATGGATCCCTACAACCATCCTCCATGAAGAGCTCTGACAAATTCAGCTAAACAGGAAAAGGCGTTACCCTCCTGCCTTTAGAAAATTACATTTACCTGTGTAATCCAGTCACAGCACAAACTCACTCTCTGTCACAAAGCACTGGATGGGCTTCTGTGAGGAAACAACTGCCCTTTGTTCCACACGCATGCCTTGGACAAAGAATGTATTCTTACTTTGTCTGTTTCCCCTTCCGTCCTCCTCCATCACATAAAATACAGCTTGACCTTTGACTCGGAGCCCAGACAGTCTACCTGCTGCTCTGCCAGAGGCCTCTGTTCAAACATGCTCTAACAATCTCAGTCTGAGTCAGGTCGTCAGTGGCTTTTCCTGTCACACTCAAGACCCTCTCTGTGCTTCACAGCAGCCCCCTTTTTCTTCACATCCTCGTCTCTTTCAAATTAAACTATAATAAAAAAGATGAGATGGTTTCTAGGCCCATGTTGTCTTGAAAGGCAAAGAAATGAAAGTCTCTGGGGCGTTCTAATTCCCTCGTTAATAGAATCAATTACCAAATGTCAACAAGATGGGGTGGTGGGTCAGAAATACCATCTGAATGGTCACAGATAAATTTGGGATCCTCTACTTAGATTAAGATTTATAAATGACAATAAAAAAATAAAATTTATAAATGACAGAGTTTGTGGATGGATATCTCTGTGAGTTCAAGGCCAGCCTGGACTA